TCTGATTCTGATTCTGATTTGTAAATTATTCTAGTGTCCAGTCTAGTGATAGTCTATGAAAAGACTCAAACTAACAACAGATTACTAAGAAGAATTGTCTGTATCTAAAGCCTGATATTCGTCTGTGCCACAGCGCTCCATTGTTGTCTGAATACAGATAACACCACATAAGGGAGACATACATACACCATCCCGCTGCCTTAAACACTCACTGGAGCACAATTGTGGATTCATATGATAATAGTTCCCAATAAATACACTATGTTCCCCTGTGCCCAGCTGTATAAAAGGCTAAATTGTTTTGCGTCTTACTTTACAACGTTGCCAAATAGTTTATTTTAATAGGCAGAGAATCTTGTTTGTGCTGTGAATAATAGAACGCGTATTGTGTTTGCTGTTGAATAGATTTTCCTAGATCTTCACTTTAATATCTTCCTCTCTTTGTCACACAGCTGCCGGGGAAGAAGGACCTCTTCATAGAGGCAGACTTGATGAGCCCGCTGGATCGTATTGCAAATGTGTCAACACTAAAGGTGAACCTCATCAGATTTTACTCCTCTGACTCCTGAGGTTGAGAATCTGTTAAGAAAAAACTGCAGTTCCCTTTTTTTAAACCCTTTTTACTTTTTAGGAACATGAAGTCGACAAACTCTACAAAGTGGAATACAAACCTGTTGTCAGCACATCAGATCAGTGAGTCCTGCACCCTTTATACTCATACATTTTACACACACACACACACACAACACACACAGAGACAGACAACACACACAACACACACAGAACCCACACACACACACAACACACACACACAGACACACACACACACACAGTGACTGCCTGACAATGTGGCATTACTCTCTTACAGGCTCTGTTTTCTGATCCGGCCAAGAATAAAAACTGTGAAATGGATATGTGGTGAGTAGAGCTGGATGTTTTTTAATGAAAGCTCATATGTTTTATATATGTTTTTTCTGACTGTGCTGATTATCGGCTGTATCAGAGTCATCAAAGTAACAGTTTGTACATTTAGGCGTGTGGTTTGAACCTTTAATGCAGGAAGGTTGTGACTTCGAATGTCTGGTCAGATTCATAATCTTATTTACTAAATTTGATCACACAGTTTGTAATTTAAATCAAAATGTTGGGGAAAAAATGTTGTTGTTGTTGTTTATATTTTTCAAATGAAGGTATATAAAAAAAGGATTGTTTTGATATAAAAATCTAGGTGTTGTGTTCAGGTGTATTTCATGCTATTATTCTTGTTCCAGATGTGGCCAATGCAGACAAGGCAACAGGGAAATTCAGAAGATACAAGATCATCTTTACCCCTCAGAAGGTATTTCTCTTTCTGCTGTTGTGTACAGACTCTGCTTTGATTTGTTTTGGATCAAGTTGTTGTTGTTTACCTGCTGACCCTCCTGTGTCGTCCAGTTCTATGCGTGTGAGGCGGTGCTAGAGGAGCAGGGGATCTTTGGTGGTACGTAAGCGTCCTCGATTCTTCACTTTCAAGTAGCAATGGTCAGTGTTTGGAGGAGGAGGAGGAGGAGGAGGAGGTGTTGAACTGGTTTTTGCCTCCCCACAGATGTGACCACTGATGAATGGGCTTTCTACCTCCTCCCACTTGACGACGACATCATCAGTCTGGAGCTGCCAGAATTCTTCAGAGACAACTTCCTGGTAAATAATGTGCACGGGGTCTGAAATAGAGCTGTATGATTCATTATTTAGTCAATTAACAGATAATATTGATAATTGCGTCATAGTTTTTAAGCAAAAGTTCCATAAATTTCCAATTTATTATATTATGGTTTACACGGACGTTGAAATCCTGGAAAGTAAAAAATTAAGGCCTTAAAAGACATAAATAGACATGGGACTTTAAAAGTGCTTGTATCTATTTGTGCAAGAATAGAAGTTTTTTTTTTAAATCTTAAATTTGACAGATTAACTGACACTGAAAATAATCTGTATTTGAATCCTAGTCTTAAAGTCCCACCCATTAAATGTGAATTATTGTGAAAAGAAATGTCATTTATAAATCAGTAGACATTCACAGTTGGCCAGATGGTAGCAGAAGAAATAATATTGGATGGACAGAGATTAAATTGACATCATCCAAATACAGATGATAGACGCTGTACGCTCTGTAATTGTGAGTCAGTCAAAATGGACCTAAATGCTTCCCTATAATAAGAATTCTGCTGCACCTTGTGATGCAAGTTATGGCTGCAACTAATGATTACTATTACGACTCTTAATCAATCAGTATATTAATATCAGAAAAAAGTGAGAAATTGCAGTAGATTAATCATTTCAGCACTATTGGCACTTTGAACCACTGTGTAAGTAATTCAAATTGAGTTGTAGCACTCAAGTACCAGCACAGGTGGATCAGGTTGTGTTTCATCACACAGGCGGGGGACCAGCGCTGGGTGAGGACAGCCGGAAGTGCTCTGCACCTCCTTCACTCCCTCTACGGCCCGTTCTCCAAGGTCTACGGGATTGGACGATGTTCTAAGGTGCAGTATGATCAGAGACCAAAAACTGTCTTGTCATGTAGTTTAACTTTCAGACCCACTGTGATATGTTTTGAATTGACTAATGTGCATGTTGAACTGCCTTTAATTGTGTCTGTGTATCTGATACCAGATGGCGTACGAGTCGTGGAGGGAGCAGGTCGCAGAGGGAGAGCAAAGGACTCGTCAAGCTGAAATAGGAAGGGTTTTTCTTATCGACAGAGGTAAAGAGCAGCTCTCAGTGGATCACATGCTGCGCCGTGCTTTCTTTCCTCCCTAACATTGTCAATGTCTTTGCAGATGTGGACTTTGTCACTCCTCTGTGCTCACAAGTTGTCTATGAAGGACTCGTGGATGATATATTTCGAATCAAATGTGGTGGGTATCAAAGGTTGACACTTGGGAGAGTTAACTGAGAGAATTAACATTAAACCAGCAAAATCTGAAAACGCTGTTTGTGTAATCAATGCGACTACACTGGTGTTTTCAAGTCGCTTTCATGAATAACTAACTAAATCTCTTTCTCTATATCTTCTTTTGGTCAGTAAACAGCAAAACTGTCACAGCCAACATGTGTTGAAGATTAGGACAGACATTATTGGGTTACTTACCAGGTCAACTCTCTGTTCAGTCCCCTCCTGCTCTTCGTGATCATACACTGTTTTGAACTTAACAATTTCACAAAAATAGTTTGTTTTAATATTTTTCTCATTTTTAAAGCCCCTATAAGAAACGTTCATTTCATGTTGATTGTTGCAGACATTTCAAGGGAAATCCAACCAAATAGCCAATCTTCTTGCTGATGGTTTATGTAGGTTATATAGAGGCATCAGTATTAAACTGAGACTGTTTTCCGTTAAAAACTCCTTGTAGTGTGTTTAACTGTATTACTGTACTGGGAAATCAATCACATGAGGTTTTTATGATCGCCAATATCATCTGAATTTAATTTTTTTTAAATAATATTTTATAAAAAATATTGGCCAAGTTTAAAGATTCTCAGATGCTGTGTTTTGCTTGCATTTCAAAATCAGTTTTTATCAGGCT